TTACGCGTTGAGTTCAGTTTTCAAAATACAATAACAATAATTTCAACCAAAATGAGGGAGATTGTAGATTTGAATGCCTCGACCAGGGGACATTGAAAAGAACAACTTCCCTACCCCTGGCGGGAAAAATGATCAACATTGTTTATAAATTTTTACAATCTCCCGGGGGTCGACCCCACGGGGAAGCCGCTGATAGTTGCATAAATTGTATTTTGACTATTTCCCTTTATAGTTTGGGCCGTTTAAGATCAGATATATTAAAATAGATGAGATTACAGCTACAGAGGTGGCCACTGACCCGTGACGTATGGTTTGGGCCTTGTTTGAACCATGGCGAGGTCATTTAAATTGATATTTTTGGTGGTTACATTGTTTGTAAACGAATTTTATTGCTCTCACAAAACGTGTTCAGTATGTAAGCACTACGAGAACAAAGCAAAGTCAGCCACAAGTTTTAAAAGTGATTTGAGGCAGCGTTTTGGAATTGAAACAACTAGCGAGCAACTGTGAATATGTTCTACGTGTAGAAGGGCAGTCGCCGAATTTCAAAAAAGCGTAAAAACTTTCCTCCACGTAAGTAGTTTTTTATTTTTTCATAAATTTACCAAAAGTAGAATCTGCATATGTTTTATACAAAGTATGATCAGTACGCACTTTGTTGCAGCTCGCTCAACAAAGGGAAAGGGGAAGACCAAGGAAAAAAGAAGAATTTCAACGCGCCTATACGACGGGTGCGGGTGTGGCTCCTTCGAGAATTTTAACCAGCACTCAAACCGAAGCTGTAGCAAACACTCTGGATATGAATGGGTGGCAAGTTAAAGCTCCAATAAGCTCCCTATTTACGACCCTGAAATATTTGAACAGTTATGTATTTCACATGGTGCGAAAACAATTTTCAATACCATTTTTTCCGCGATGACTGATGCTAGACACTCTGCAAATCGACAAAAAACCAACATTAAAAGAACAGTGGCTATCATCTATAAACTATGTTGATGTTTGCAAATAACAAATTTCTATGCATGGTTTTCATGCATACTTACTCGCAAAAAGTTTCATTTGTTTGGTAAAAGCCGATTTTTTTGCGGCATGAAACTTAAGATCATATGTAAACACTGTTATCGCACAATATAATTATTGCAAGCTAAGGGTGGAGATAGCGTATGGATTTTGAGAAATTTGAAAAAAAAAAACATTTCTCTCTAAAGTAATTTATGCAAGAAAATAATGTGAACACAACATTGGTGGATAACTAATGAAATAAATACCCGATTTCTAAAATATCTTTCTTCCTTGGAGATGAACAGCAATATTACCAAAGCCACATAAAAAAATGGCAAATGATTTTTGATTAGGCTGTTGCTTCTCGTAAAAGGAAGATATAATTTATACAAATGTATCAATTTATTCAAACGCCCCCCAAAAAACAATGTAAATACACCTTGAAGCCGATTTTTCTCTCTGAAATAACCTGTATTTTTCGAATGAAGAAGGATTTCTGGTAATAAAAAACAAACACAGAAGGTGGAGATAGCGTCTAGTTTTAGAGTGATGGCTACTCGAACATTTACTAAAACTTGAACATGTAAGTGATTTGATATAGAATAAGGATACTTTTTGTATATATACAAAATGTCGATCACAGTTAGGGTTTGCCAAAATATTATAATCATTAATAAACTCTTAACATGTGTATCCATATCTATACGATGTACCTCTGGCACTGAATATTTGAGAGTATTTTACTTGTGTCGGTATGGACAACGAATGCAGCCATGACACTTTTGCAGTGTTTTCTTCGCGCTAAAAAGTCCATTCTGTCAAGAAAACTCATCTCTTTTTTCATCATATTAGTTGACCAGAAGATGAACTAGTCGTATCTTATTTTATAATGTTTATAGCAATGGTAATTTAGGTAAAAATATTAGATTAAATAGGTAAAGAATGCAGTATTCTTGCTTATCTGGCTATGCACTCGTGTTCAGTCAAGCATTTCGGCGCTTGCGCATGCAAAATTCCCCCCTGTTCATCATAACGTATTTTTTGGAGACKATTTTACTTCAAAGTAGTTTAAAATGGAAAATAAGATCATATTTAGTGTGTTAACACCGGATATAGTAAAATTCAAGCAAGTAATAATGGTTAGTGATAATTTATTTCAGTACTTAATTTGCATATTTCATGAGACATTTTGGTAAAAACATGCACGAAAAAGTCCGAGGTTGCTGTGAAGAAGATACTTAAAAAGCGCAAAAATGTTTTATGAATCCACTTTTATCAACCTTTGATCAGTAGATTGAAGTAAAAAACTTAAGTAACCCGTTCTGGACTTGGGAGAAAAAAGCTTTTTAGTGAGGGGAGGTTTGTCTTGATTTCAAATAGCCGTCAAATGGATATGAATACTTATTTTTCTCCTTTTTTCCCTTTTGCTTAACATTCAAAATTTTGCTTATTTTTGACACTAGAATGAATGTGAAAGTCAGGAAAAATAATAGTTTGTTCAAGCGTTTAATATTTTGCGAGCAGTGACGACTTAGATACGGGCAATTTTCAATTGATAATAAATGCAAATTTAGCGATAACGGTGGTCCAGGATTTATGCGCTGTAAAAARATCATTTTGATGAATTTCGAGAAAATAAAGTCATTTTCATTACTTACTAGTAATAACCTTTCTATGGTAAAAGTTTGAGGGCAAACTATTTTCTGACCCGAAATGCAGTGGGCCGCTTTTACAGAGACTGCCTCTTAAGCGAATCCTCGACAAACAAAAGAATGAATTCGAAGGTGATGATGGCTACTGAGATAGACAATTATGATTGAAAATCGTCAAATCTACTATTCGGATTAGTTGGCGCGACTATCCTTAGCCTAAACCCTCAAGTTACACACAACTAGTACTATTATAGTTATATTTACACAAATACTAAAGTAGACTACAGTAGTGTTGGTTGATTCTTAAGAATTCTTACCTCAAATTTGAATAAAAACTATTAAAAACTCACAGCGTCCTTCTCTTGACAAGATTATTGAAACATTCGTAAACCCCGTGAGTCGTAAACTCTCATATTATCAAGCATCTTCTTGCTTCATGGCTCGTCTACAGCATAATGATAAGCATTAAAAAATTCCTGGCACACCAAGGGCGGATCCAGGGTTTTTTGAAGGGGGGGTCTCAGGGGTAAATTTAGTGGGCAAAGGAATCCCAGTCGCATTTTTACCACAGAAGGCCCATTTGACCTCAGGAATGACATGGGGGGTCGCGACCCCCCAACCCTCCCCCTGGATCCGCCCTTGCACACAATAGAAGTCATGACCATGAAGGAGGCTTTATATCTGATATAGATTGGTCTTCATTTGCATTAACCTTAACATGGATTTTCTCTATCAAACTTGGTTTTTTTCGTAAAGAATTAGGTACAATATGAAAACTTACATCATGAGTTTTTTAAGCCGTTTAATAAACTCGCAGACCGTGTTTTATCGGGTCTAAAACCACCCGGCTACGCCTCGTTTTTTTATATCCGATCAAACGCTCCTGCTCGTTTATTAAACATTACGTAGACACTATGTCATCGAGTTTACCGGGATATACTTCATATCCTATTTAACTAGCGAAGCTACACGAAGCATGTCATCAATGTCGCTTCATGACACTAACTCAGATTTTTACAGTGACAATATTTGAACCCTTTAAAGGGATAACTGAGCTCCGTAAGCAGAATATTAGGCCCTGAATACCTGCAAGTAAATATTTTACATATACATGATTCAAAAATGTTGCCGTGTATCTATCAGCAGTAGACACATGTACTCATCGAGTACGTATTTTTTAGTTCTTTTTTCACCAAAACGAATTGGTAAAAAATATATGTACACTGCGCATGTCTAAGCAAATGACTAGATCTTGACTGCATTTTCATACATCCCAAAATGAACAAGCAAACAACAGGAACTTTGTCATTATAGAAACACATTCTCTTTCGCTGGTCATAGCAAGGGGTTAATCATATATGGTCTAGGGGCCGACTTACCTCTCCCTTAGGCTTCGGCCAAGCTCCCTGATCAGTCAATATGGATAGCGGTGTCGGGGCCGAAATCTCCAGCATAGCCGTAAATGCTTCGCGMTGCCATACTGCGCTTCGGCTCTACGTCTGGAGGTATGGTCCCAATCAAAGAACCAATAAAAATTTTTTTTGTTTTCTTTCTAAATTATGTTTAGTGTGGTTAGGTTTGGGGTTAACATAGAGAAGATCTTGTCAAAAATAAAATTGAAGTAGTAGGAGAGCAACTTTCACAAAGTATTACATTGTCTCGCCAAATTATCTGCAAAAATATGCAAGATATCCAAAGTTGCTAGAGAAAGACGTACAGGATTAATTCAGGACCGTATCTTATAGTACAGACACTTCGTTTTCCTGGCTTGATATTTTTTGACCATTTTGAATAGCACTATGTGCCTACAATGCACATGAATATATAGAGATAAGGCGTAGCCGAAAAAATGGCTACGGTATGTACCCGGCCTAGGGTTGGGTAGCCGGGTTACGCTCAATCTTGATGTCGTTTGAACGAATGAGTGTGTGCAAAGACACGATTGGCTGCAATTTATACATTGCAAGAATTGTGGGATATCTAGTCTATTCTTATATCAATTTCATATTTTATTACATCCATTTTGAAATCACAAGCAAATCCAGCAATCTGATTGGTTCCCTGCAGCAGTGATTTCAGCATAAATTGCACGATTTTGAGCTCTAAATTGCACGATTTTGCACATCAACTGATATGAACCAATCACAAGAGAGACATGTCATTTTCTAG